TAGAATATACCGAAATAAACACAAGCGAGGTATAATTTTAATGCTGGTACTCTATGAAGAAAATGGATGATCCAATTTTCAAAGATTTTTGTGTGTCTTCATGTGCCGATGAAGGTTACCGGATTGTGTGAAACGCATGAAGCATATATCGCATCCGTACGGTTTCTGACCTAAATGAATTGGCACGTTGACTGAATTAATTTGGTTCTAAGTAGTTCAAGTAGGATGAGTTTATACTTCGCGACTCGAGCGATTCAGTCGCGCTCTACTACTAGTCGTTGGATACTAACCTAACCTTGACTCTCCTCTCTGTCATACATTCTTGCTGCTTCTTTAGAATTCGTGTACAAACAGTTAACTTCCATCTGATCATAGAAAAGAAAAATTAATAGATCCTTCACTTCAAATGGTCCAACGATTAACGGTGGAGCGTTGTCGGCAAGCGACTGGATCGCTCGAGTCGCAAAGCATAAATGCACTGCACTACAAGCGCATGCTTTTTTGAGAAGGTATGAAGAGACGTGGCAAATGGTTCCTTCCTCTCCCGCCTCTCCCCCCAACTACTTTAACGCCAACTGCCCAGAGCTGGTAGCTCTTAACATCAGGAAAAGGTTGACGGGAAAAAATCGCATTTGTCAAGTGAAGTAAAGTGGGACGAATAAGCGCGAAGGATGGACCCGCAAGAATGCAGCTTTGGTTAGGCCATTTTGGATTAGTTAGGCTATCGTAACCCGGAATGGCGTCAGATAAACTGCGATTCTGTCGTCGTCCCAGGCTTTGAAGCGGGCACACATGTGTGTAGATGCCACGAACAAATTTCAATCAAAGAAAGCACATAATAGGCCATACGCCTGTGTACATTTTCCATCACAAGATAATTGACTGTAACCACGTGCGTGTACGGGGAGGTTCCGGGTGCCCACTGAAAAGGCTACAGTAATGTTGCGTGAATTTACATATTTCAGTTACGGGAACGCTCAGAAGCTCGAAAGGAATGCAGCTATGAGTTATAGCCCACCTGTATGCGTCCGGAGATGTTTCGTCAATGTGGAGCTGTCCGTGAACTTCTTGTCGCAGTGGCTACACTGATATGGCCGTTCGTTGGTGTGCGTCCTGTGAGTAGGCGTGTTTATTTTTGTCGTTTTAGCTATTTTTATCGGATAAGATATGAAATAGAGCGTTCAAAGAAACGGAAGTACATTTTTAACAATTTGCGGAGAGGGTGTATTTGGTAGCCGGGATTGGGCGAGGGGGTAATCTTATTTGATGGTCACAACTTTGAATCACCCTTGCATGGGAGCCAAAGGTTTCCAAAGCATTTCGGTCGCAATGACACTGAAGCATTTGAGGTGTTTTTTTTTGATGGGTCAAAATTCCGTCCATCCAAAATCCTACCTGATATACCTCTAAAGCTTGTCGGTCTCCAGAAGAAAGTAATACAAAGTTTCAATACGTTTCTGGTTTCGCAGCAATTAAGGCAGCGTTCAGACTTCACGACACTATTACGCTTTGGTCGCGCGTTCGACGTGATCAATGCAATCCGCGCATCGCGTCGAACGCGCGACCGAAGCGCTGTCACGAAGTCTGAACGCCGCCTTATGCAATGAAGAAGTTGTTGTGGTCGTTAAAAGCATAAAAGCTCTCATCGGTTCACAATTTACCCCGTCAATACACCCATCAAAAATATTTCTGAACTAAGAATGATTCAGAGGAAGTGCACTAAAATAGTACAATTGACCCCAGTGAACATTTTCTGTTCGTATTAGGAAAAGATCCTTTCTTACAATGCCTAATTTTGCATTTTCCAGTCCTTTTGGCTCTCTTGTTTTTGCCTTTTCTGATAATGCAAGTATTAAATTTTGCCTGGTATAAACAGTATTTGGTTGAAATCCGTGAATGTTCTCCAACTGGTGGATGTCCTTATAGGATCAGAAAAATCCGGCAATTGCTCAATTCTTAGAGGATAAGCTAATTAATCCGTAAAGACGGTAATCGCTTATCTCAACCACGCCTATACGTGCGAGGTGCCTGCTGGTTGGTTACTATGGCTACCGTACTCACTAGGCTACCGTAGGCCGCGATATGAGTCAGGTTCACTGTTTCCAAAATGAAGTGGACATCTCAGTTGGGGTAGAAATTCGACCGGGGTGGGATTTGGGCCCATACTTGCACACAAAACATTCGTTTTGGAACCAGCTTCCTTTGAATTTTCGTTTTCCTGCAGAATTTGGCGCAGTTTGGCTTAGTGGAACATTTCACTGCTTTCCATCGATCACCGCAGATGCCTCCTATGGAGAACGGTGAATTCCTGTGAGGTTTTACAGATGCGGGGACTTCGTTTACACTTGACAAAAGTCTGCCGACTTTGTTGAGGTGTTATCATCAAAAGTAAATTAACAGGGACCAGCAAAAAAACTAGCCGATTAGAACAGTGGTCCCTCCCCCGTTCTCCCTGAGCCGGACACCTCCCCAAATTCGTTATAAACGCATACCTAACTACGAAAATATGGAGAGAGCATTGGGTGACTGTAGGTAGCAGATTTACCAAAAGAATCAATTCTACCTTCCATGTAGGTGACGAATAGTCCTCCCTTCCATCGGAAAAGGACATCTCTTGTGCGAGAAAGCAAGAGATTGCGAGAGAGAGCAAGCAGAGAGAGAGTGGATATTTCAAGAAGAGAAAGTAAGATAAATAGAAAGGTTTACCTTCTATGGGTGACGAGCGATGAGCTTTGTGAAAATCGTCGACTGCACAGGGGACACGTAAACGGCCTTTCACCTGGAAATCGTCAATCGCTTTGGTTTCCAGGAGTATGTGGAAAGAAAGCCTTGGTGTTGATCGAGGCTAGATATGACTCCAGTGTCCCTATGCTCAAACACGACCCCTCCTTAGGGATTTCTCAATCACTACGTGCACTTGTCGCAGATTGGGAGCTTATATCGTAACACCGTGTATCATTACTGTGGGAACGACTGGCCGGTGTGAAGGATAGGGAGCGTATTTGCTTCGAGAAAAACATATTTTGTTTGCATACTTCCCCACCCACCGAGCCCTGTATTCTTTGGAGCGATGAACATTGGTGCCAGATCGGTCTGGGAGGATATGAACGCAGATGTACATCGGCTGACCTACGCAAATCATTGAATGTGCCATATCGCATTAAAAATTATAGCAACTACGATTCTGTATGGAAGTAGAGTGCATGCCGCGTGCCACGGGGGTTGATCGACGGTAGAAGCCTTCCTCATTCTCACTCCCCTCTTCCATAGAGTTCAATTGAAAGTTGACTGTATTGGGGGTCGTAACGGGGTAGTCTGTGAAAGGAGTCGTACCGAGATCCTCCTTTTGGAGGGAATCCTATTGAAATCACCATTTTGCTTACCCTGGTGTACCCTGTAGCGTAATCAGGATCCTTCTATTCTGATGAGTTCAATGTCAGTTAGCCCCTCGAAGGGCCAGCTACGGCAAGAAGCTCAAGCGAGGTGAGAGGGTCGTAAGCGCTAGAGTCGAGGCACCTCGTACTGATGATGATCCTCAGGAGGAAGTCGTCTTTGGTGGCTGAAGGGAGATAGGTCGTATGCGTCATCGAAAAAATAATCTCGCTTTTGTTCTGCTTTAAGTGCGCTGTGTTCGCCTCTCGCTTGATGGTATTTTTTTAAAGAAAAAAAAAGTGGAGGTTTTTTTGTAAAAAATCCGCGCAAAGTGGTAGGAAGCCGGTAAAGGTTATGAAGGTGGTAGGTGAGATGGGGATGTGAAGGGGCCCGCACTAGAGTACAAAATTTGGGGGAGGGGTCCGTGTTTTGCAAAAATTTACCTGGCAGGACGTGCCGTGGCTAGAGTCAAGTCTGACAAGGGTTTTTATTCGAGGATTTGCACTCCATGTTTCGAAAAAAAAACTCAAAATTCCTCACCAGTATGTACCCGTTTGTGTGCAGTCAAATTCGCTGCTTGTGAGAACGATTTACCGCATAGCTGAAATTTCATCCATTGGTGATTGTTCTGAATATTTATCGCTTCACCTTGTAATGAACATTACCTGACATCTGAACGGCTTGTTCGCCGGCATTTCCCGTGCTATCGGTTTTAGAATTAGAGGTTTCATCTCGATATGGTTCGCCATGTCCATATATCTGAAAATGATAATGTTGCTACACTATTACTTTTGGGGCAAGGTGGAGTATTTCAATGAAGTAGTTCGTGCGGATTACGGATAACCCAAAAATCGTAAAAGTCCCCCAATACCACGAAGTTGCAATACTTTCTTTCGAATCTGAGGTATAGGCCGATGAAGATTCGAGTCGAAAAATTAGTGAAAACAATTACCGTACCCATAAGCTCGATGTTCTGGTGGAAGTGTGTGAAGAAGCTGTGGCGGCGGTTCCCATTCGGTAGGACGAGACCAGTCCGGGCGCCATCCGTACGGAATGCTAAACTTCAGGATTTCATCAAACAAACGATAGTGGGAACTTCGAGATATTCCTGGACCATTAGGAATGTTCGACAACATCACTGCAGTACTACGGGAAGTCTATTGTACTGATCGAATTGCAGCTGTGAGAACGGAGCAAAGAGGGAACATTTTGAATATTTTTCTCAGCAGCCTAACAATCTGAATAAGAAACGGCAAGATCCTAGTTATATGCAAAAGCAAGCCAGCCACTCGACTGGGTGACATGAGATGCAGTGGGCCATATGGCCTCAGTGAAGTCGTAATATGTGATAAGGGCAGCCCTGCCGATTTCGAGGTTTCCGGCGAGATTTGACCTCACTGGGATCACTTATGCACCGCAGTGATTCCCAATATTGGATATGAAGAAGTGCTTCTGTTGAGAGCTTTCTTCGTGCTAGGCCTATGAGACTGAAATCTTAGGAGAGGCGCTGCAAATGTCTCCTGGGAAATCTTGAAATGAACGACTTACACTGGTTCTCCGCTTAGTATTGGTTCAGTAAGCGGTGCTTGGACTGCTGCCGGCGGTGGATAGAAGTCGTACGGCGTGACCGAAATCGGATTGTGATATATGGGCTCAAAAAACTCGGCTCGTTCGTAGCTGTTGTAGGATGCCATCCGTGTAGGTATGGGTGAATGAATGAGGAAGCGAATTGAACCACCTGGTTGTGGGTGTTTAGAGATAGCTACGTCTCCACCTACCGTATACAGGTGATAGGGATGCCTAATCCTGTCGGCTAATCCCACCTGTGGTGGGCTTCACCTCGTCTACGCCGAGTTCTCGATAATTATTACGTATGGCTCGGATTAGCCGGGATGAATTTCAATCGTAGGGTCAGAAATTGGAAGAAAACCATTCGATTATTGACTGGTAACGCTTCGATAACAATCATATGGATAACGAAACCTCATAGTTGCTCACTTTCAGGTGGTGCAGAGGCTCAATCAGGGCACATCATTGGTTGGGGATTTTAGTCGACTCTATACGACCCCCTTTTTTGGGAGTTGGTACGACCCCCCCCCCCAGCCCTCTGTCCTTCTTCTCCTCATCGAATCGAGCCGTCCGACGGGGAGAGTGGTGTGTGGGGGGGGGTAAAGAGCACATGTGATGAAACAGGAAAGAGCGGCCGGCGAGGACAATACGACGCCGCTCTGTGCCTGCTTCATGATAAATTGTATCAATTATACGACCTTCCTTTTTTTTGCCAGTTGTTCATGAACGCGAGAAAAATCAACTATCAGAATTTTTTCTCAGCACAAATACGACTCCCCCTATTGGGGATTCCCCAACAACGATGTGCCCTGGTCTCAATGCATTTTTTACAGTGAGTAGCTTTCATTGAGCCTTGGGGAAATTGCCTCTTATTGGAATTCGGAGGGCTTGGCGCGGTGTCGCCCTTACCCGGGGCTTGTTCGAGGCGACCTTGGTTGCCGTTACACCCACCGTTAGGTGACCCACTGTTCGATTCTGCGGAAGGTCCGTCGTCTGTGTTGAACCACACAGTCTGCCTTATGTCGTGTGGCGGAGGTGTTGAGTGTGCTCATGAGGTGGTCGTCCTCGCCACATAAGGCGATACTAATGTAAGACTTGCACGGTGCGCAGCCAAGCGTTCATATCTCGCTCGGTTGCGGTGTGGTGTTGGGTTGGTTGCTGAGGGAGGCTTTAATTTTCTGTGGAAATGGACGACACATCTGGTAAATAATGTGGTCGATGGCGTGTGTGGCTGCGGTGGGGGGAGCATATCGTGGCCATTCGGCGGCGAGCGGGTCGACTAAGTGATCACTTTGTGTACTACTGGAGCAGGGAAACTTATATGAATTGCAAAAACGATGACGAGCGATATCGAATTTTCCTCTTCCTGTTCCATCGCGTCACTCCTGTATAAATGGCCCGGCAGGACAACTCGTCCAAAGGGCGCGGCGCTCGCAGCGCACTCGAGCGTGGCATGTTATGATTATCCTGTCACATATCCCATTTTCTGTGCATAAGGCGCATCAGTGTTTTCAGCGGGGAAAAAACGCTGTCTTATCGCTATTCTTTTGCTCATTTTCTGTTTCTTCTTTTCTATGTGAGTAATCTACTGAATAAAAAGTCCTCAAAAGTCAACTATAACAAGAAAAAAAATAAATGAAAGAAAGCAGGTGCTGTATCTGAAAAATTCTCGCGCGCTTGTTGCGAGCGTTTCTGCAGTTGCAAATTAAGCGCCTTATGCGCCAGAAAATAGAATGTAGAAATCTTTAGTGGGAATAGGAGAAAATTTCACTAGTAAAGGAAAGTTTCTGGGAACTACATCATCGTTAATGTGTAGTTAGATCCGCATCCAGCTCGCTAAGCTTTCGCAAGAACGCTTCGATTTTCGAGGGAGCGCGTGTCCTTACAGTATCCATTGTATCACGCGCCGTTTATTCAGACTAGCGTGAGATGAAGTAACTCAGAATAATTACTCCATGGCCATTTTGATAGTGTTGTTATGACGTCCAGTATGTTTCATTTTGCAGTCTCCCCATACTAAAGAGCCTTCTCCCCGACTTGCGGTGAAGTTCATTCTCAAGTTGTGGGCGGTCGGATGTGGCAGCAATGAATAAAGAGGATCCGTTAGCCGACATGCCCAAGGAGCGCGAAGACATCATCAAAAGCAAAAAAGCCACATATGAGGTACGTCTTTGGCTAGCCCAAGTCTAGGTAACCTTGCCTTAGCAGTGTTTTGTAGATACTGGAAATACTCGGAAAAGGATCATTCGGAGCAGTGTTTCGGGTTCGGCGACTAGAGGACAATAAAGAACTAGCGATGAAATGCGAATCATATAAAGTTAAGAAGCAGGTATGCACTAAAGAATTAGATGGAGGAAGAAAAATGTGAAGACTACTTTCGATTGCGGGCAGTCAGGAGATACCCTCACGGGGTTATCAATCCCTATTTTTGCTGTGTTTGCTGGGATCCAGCAAGGAAGTCTTACGTCATTATAATCTTTGGAGTATCGATGGCATAGTAATGTTAGAATTGACACATGCACGCAAAAAGAGTACAGTTGGAATCCGAAGTGGTCACACGCCGCATCCTGTCTTTCACCGAGTCAGAACTGCGGAATTAGTGGCATGTGCTACATTATCATTATCACACAACAAAGGTTTAGCGGTCAACTCATTTGTCTTGTTCATCACAAGTTAGCTGGTGCTCCCTGTTGCATAACACGCGGGCACCTAAAGAGCTTACAGGCACGATATCTTCACTCTGAACCTCCACCTGGGCACCTTCCCTTTTTGATGAGCTCA